AGGCAAATCGGGCCTTGAATAGTAGGCTGAGAAGTGAGTTCTGGCTACTAGGTACGACATATATATATATATATATATATATATATATATGTCGTACCTAGTAGCCAGAACGCACTTTTTGGCCTACTATGCAAGGCCTGATTTGCCTAATAAGCCAAGTTTTCCTGAATTAATATATTTTCTCTAATTTTTTTCTTATGAAATGATAAAGCTACCCATTTCATTATGTATGAGGTCAATTTTTTTTATTGGAGTTAAAATTAACGTAGATATATGACCGAACCTAACCAACCCTACCTAACCTAACCTAACCTATCTTTATAGGTTAGGTTAGGTTAGGTAGCCGAAAAAGTTAGGTTAGGTTAGGTTAGGTAGGTTAGGTAGACGAAAAACAATTAATTCATGAAAACTTGGCTTATTAGGCAAATCGGGCCATGGATAGTAGGATGAGAAGTGCGTTCTGGCTACTAGGTACGACATATATATATATATATATGTCGTACCTAGTAGCCAGAACGCACTTATCAGCCTACTATGCAAGGCCCGATTTGCCTAATAAGCCAGGTTTCCATGAATTAATTGTTTTTCGACTACCTAACGTACCTAACCTAACCTAACCTAACTTTTTCGGCTACCTAACCTAACCTAACCTTTAAAGATAGGTTAGGTTAGGTTAGGTAGGGTTGGTTAGGTTCGGTCATATATCTACGTTAATTTTAACTTCAATAAAAAAATTGACCTCATACATAATGAAATGGGTAGCTTTATCATTTCATAAGAATAAAATTAGAGAAAATATATTAATTCAGGAAAACTTGGCTTATTAGGCAAATCGGGCCTTGCATAGTAGGCTGAGAAGTGCGTTCTGGCTACTAGGTACGACATATATATATATATATATATATATCTTAAACTGCGCATGGCGTATGTATATGCCATGAGTAACATGTCCCACCGTACGCATGGCGTATATATACGCCAAAGGGTGCCAGGCACGATTCAAATGTCCCGCGGTGTAAAGCGGGTCACCCATACCGCAGCCATGGGTGATTGTAAACAGCCGCCATCTTGAAAAAAAATTCAGCGTAGGCCTCCTTTGTTTCCCAGGCCTTAGTCAGTGGCCAGACACCATGGCGAGCGCATCACGACTCAGCGTGCGACCTCGATCAGCGCACCACGTAGCGCACTCTTTGACCAAAGACGAAATAGCCAATGAATTGTTCAAGGACGTTGACGAATCTGATATTGACGACTCGGATATAGATGAGGACTATACACAGCCTGAAGAAATAGACACCACGGATAGTGAGGGTGAACATGTTGGTGCCACGAGGGTGAGAATGCCATGAGAGTTACCCGCTACTACTCAACACCACTTCGTGCCCAAGCACATAGTTCATGTGTTTCATTGCAAGTTTATGATATGATCGACGAATCTGAAACAGGTGAATCATTCTTTGGTTGTAGTGATGTAGAATCGGAGAATAGTTTTGCCCCGCCTGCTAGTACCAGTACAAGTTTCGCCGCATCAGCTGCCCGCCCAGCCAAGCGCCACCGCATGGAACAATATGGCGACGATGAGGAACAAATCCCCTCATGTTCCAATACTTTTCCCTCATCGACACTTCCTGCCCCCTACTGTTGCAACGCCTGCTTCACTCCTGGTCCCCGGATTCCTCGCCATGGTGCAGCTAATGGCTCTCGGAAGGCAGTAGGTTTATTTGTGTGGAGTGATGGGGAAGATTTTGTTCCACAAATTCCCGACTTTGACAATAGAGATGTGGGAATTACAGATCTTTTCCCTGATACTGGTGACGAAATGTGTGAAATGGACTTCTTTACTGCATATTTCGATGAGCCGCTCATAGAACATATTGTTCACGAAACGAACAGACTTGTGGCTGATCTCATTGAAGGTGAGGAGGTATCAGAATTTTCACGACTACAGCGTTGGAAAGAGACAACGATAGGTGAAGTGTATGTGTTTTTCGCAAATTGTATATTGATAAAACATTGTGTGAAACACGTAATATCAGATTATTGGAGCAAAGACAACGCTGTTCCATCACCATTGTTCGGGAAATATATGTCCCGAAACAGATTTCTGTTGATCCTACAGTGCATTCATTTTGCAAATAATGCAGACGAGAGACAGGATGATAGGCTTCGGAGGGTGAGGCACATGGTAAATGCCCTGATTGGAAAGTTCCAAGATTACTACGTAACAGCTCAGAAGCTGGTTATTGATGAATCCCTTGTGCTTTTTAAAGGACGTGATGCCTTCAAGCAGTATATTCCCTCAAAACGCCACCGATTTGGATTTAAATTCTTTGTGCTCTGTGACTGTGAATCAGGAATGGTGTTACACATGATACTTTATTCAGCCACAAATGTAGATATTCCTGCTAATAACTAACATGGCTTCTCAGGTAGTGTGGTGAAGGCGCTGCTTGCACCATATCTGAACAAGGGCCACATATTGTACACAAATAACTATTATACCAGTCCCTTGCTAACGAAATTCTTGCTTGATAATAAGACTGGAGTGTGTGGAGCAGTAAAGCCAAAACGAAGGGAAATGCCTGTGTTTGACACTGTTATGCAAATAGGTGATTGCAAGGTAAGAAAAAGTGGTGCAATACTTTCAATTCGGTGGAAAGACAGACGTGAAGTGTATGTTCTGACCACGATTCATCCGCGTTCAATGGTGGACAGTGGCAAGATGAACAGAACAACAAAGTAAATATTATATAAGCCAGATTGCGTGATGGACTACTATCAACATGCGTTTAGTTGATAAATGTGACATGATGGTGGGTGCTGTAGAGTGTGTATGGAAAACAGTGAAGTGGACAAAGAAAGTGATTTTCCACCTTATTGACGTAACAATGCTGAACAGTTACAACACATATCTTGTGAAAACAGGTAGAAACCCATATGTCCGTTCATTTAGTTTTCAAGTTTTGAAACAGTTACTAGGTAAATTTGGCAAAGACACACCTGGCATACGAAGACCCACTCGAGACTCAATATTGAACCATGCTCCTGCACCCAGGCTCGCTTACAGGGAGGCCTTTCTTGTACACCAAATCAAGAAATTACCACCAACTGGAGCTCGTGCAGCAGGCCAGGGCCGGTGTGTTGTGTGTTCCAGCAACCGAATTGTCCCTCTGTGCCATATCGACTGTTTCGCACAGTATCACAGTCTCCAGGACTACTAAATGTGTAATACTTTTGTAAATAAATGTACATATCAAGTTAATTTTAGTGTTTATATTAAAAAACATACATTGAATATTTCCTGTAAACTATACCATTTTGGTGGGCATACTTGTGACACTTGTGATGTGAGTGCGTAGTGAGTTTATACCAGTTTTATTATATTACAACGTCTAATGATAATAATTGGAACAATACCAGTGAAAAAATTATTGTAAAATGTGCCAAGAGTAAATAATGCCGCGAAAATAAATTCGCGGCAACTGGGCCCTCCAGAGCGGTCGTGAGTGACGGCTCCCTGACCCATCACCCTTGAGAGCTCACGCTCTGTGACGTCTTCGGCCAACTTGTCGGCTCAATTATGTCATTGGTAAGTACAATAGAATTTTTGTATTATTTTTCCTGTGCTCAGGGGACACAAATTAACATGTTTAGAAGACAAAAAAAAATTTGATTTTTTTTCTTGCGTACAGGGGTGTAAATGTCCTCAGGACCCCTTAGCAGATTAAAGGTTAAGGAGTTGGGGACCTGTTTGGGCAAGCGGGTGGGTTGCAAGAGGGGTTCTTCTAATGAAGAGCCGGTGTGGGTGGTGGGGTTAGGGAGTGCGTGGAAAGCAAGTGGGGATGGGAAGTAAGCGAGGGTTAAAGTGAAGAAGAGCTAATAGGGGTGCATAGGGGGGCAGTGGATGTGAGGCAAGGGTGATGGGAGAGAGCGTGTGGGGTGTGTGGGACCAGTGGGTGAGGATGCGGGTGGGGATCAAAGCAGGGATGGTTATCTTGAGGTTATCTTGAGATGATTTCGGGGCTTTAGTGTCCCCGAGGCCCGGTCCTCGACCAGGCCTCCACCCCCAGGAAGCAGCCCGTGACAGCTGACTAACACCCAGGTACCTATTTTACTGCTAGGTAACAGGGGCACAGGGTGAAAGAAACTCTGCCCATTGTTTCTCGCCGGCGCCTGGGATCGAACCCAGGACCACAGGATCACAAGTCCAGCGTGCTGTCCGCTCGGCCGACCGGATGGGGAGCTGGTGGGGAATGCAGGGCTGGAGATGGGGATGCAGGGTGGGAGCAGGTGAGGGTGCGTGTGGGAAGTGAGAAGAGTGGTATTGGTGGGGGTTCGAGCTGGTGTGGGGGAGTAGGCATTGGGTGCGAAGTGGGTGTGGGTAAGGATGTGGATAAACACAGATGATTTTTTTTTGAGGGGAGGAAAGCAAAGAGGATGGAGAGGCACAAGTAAAGAGAACGTTAAATAATGGGAATATCAGATTGAGTTATTGAAGCAGGCAGGCTGTCCGCCTTGTTGACACGATGTGTGTTAGCCGCTAAGCGTCAGAATCGGGTTTGAGATGGAGAGCGAGCGGGGGTGAAGGTGGGAAGCAGGTGGGGTGAGGATGCAGGCTGGGGGGGGGGGGGGCGGTGACCAAGTGGGATCTTAAACGTAATCTCAACATCATCATGGTTGACATTTTTTTATTTTCAATTTCGTCGGGTGACATCGATGGGCCTCTTCAACCCGACCAAAAATGCACACTAAGATGTTAGAGACATCATTTTCTTACAAGCTCAATACTGTTAGCAGGCTCACTACTGTTAAGATGCCAGAAGTGATGAGTCCGAATTAAAAATAGCAGATATGTAAAAAAATGAGGCATTGAGAAAGATAGCAAATGAAGGAACAACAAGGATGTAACAAATTAGAGATAAAGACAATGTTTAGACGAAAGATGATGCAAAATTTATAGAATGGAAAAAATGATATGCAAAAAGAGGAATAAGTAAAAATACAGTTTTTTTTTTATTTATATATACAAGTATTGTCACATTCTTGTTCAGCCACTAGCACGCGTAGCGTTTGAAATAATGTGCAGTCATCGCTGGAAGTTTGCAATGTTCCACTTGCACCTGTGGTCTAAAAGGCCAACCAATCATTTACATGATGTTATTGTCACTCCAATCCTTCAGTGCGTTATGCGTTGCTTTGGCATGTTGAGGTCGAGCACTGGCGGTGTCTTGCATGAACTTTTCAAAAGAGCCCTCCTTCCCTTGCCTTGTCAAGTACTCTCCCAACAAACTGGTTGCCTGCAATAATAATAATAATAATAATAATAATTATTCAAATGTAGGTACAATGGGTTTGTGAGTTTGCATAATGTTGGTATTTTTACATTCTTGCAAAGCCAATAATACACATAGCGTTTCGGGCAGGTGCAATAGGAGAAATGAGGTCTTTATTTATATCAATATCAATAATTCCAATGAAGGATATTGTCATACATATCCACAGTCTATATGTTAAGCTTATCTCAATACAAACATTTTAATATTCTTAACACCAAAAATATTTCCCCCTCCTTCTGTCTATATATTTTAATATCTGGACATATACTAGGATGGGAAATAGGAGAGGTGGACACAATGTTAGAGGGTGGGAGCATTGATTGTGAGGGGGACATTATTAGAGGGGTGGATGCATGGCTTGTGAGGACACATTGTTAGAGAGGCATGGTGCTTGACTTGTGAGGTGAATGACGGGGGGCATCGCCTGTGAGAAGGACATTATTACATGAGTGAGTGCATGGCATAAGATGTCGACAAATTAGAAGTAGGTACTTGGTTTGTGTGGTGTACATATTGTTAGTAGGGTGGAGACCTCGATAGTGACATTGGAACATTATTAGGGAAAAGGAGGGCATTGTTGCTAAGGTGAACATATTATTAGAGGAGTGATTGCATGGCTTGTGAGATGGACATTGTTAGACTTGAGAGATGGACATTATTAGAGTGGTGAGTGCATGGTTTGTGAAAATATTATTTAAGACGAGGGTGCATAGTATAAAAGTTGGACACATAGTTACAGGTGTGGGTACATAGCTTGTGAACTGGGATTTTTTTTTTTGGGGGGGGGGTTTGCAAGGTGACCATATTGTTAGTGGGTGGTTTCTTGGTTTGTTAGATGAAAGCATTGATAGAAGGGTGAGTGTATGGCTCATGATGTACATAATATTAGAGGGATGGTTGCATGGCTTGTGATGGGGACATTATTAGAGGGATGGTTGCATGGTATGTGAGGTGGACATATTAGAGGGATGAGTGTTTGGCTTGTGAGGTAGACACATTATGATATTTATACATACAATATGTCTTGTATGGCTTGTGAAGTGGACATTATTAGAGGGTTTGTTGTTTGGCTTGTGAGGTGGCCACATTGTTAGACGGGTGGGTACATTACTTATGAAGTGGACATTTTTAGAGGGATGGATGAATAGCTTGTGCGATGGATATATGAGAGAGGTCAGTGCATGGCATATGAGTTGGAGATTATTAAAGTTTGCATGTTTACGAGGAGGACTAATTGTTCGAGGAGTTATAGCAAGCCTTTGGAGGTATACGCATTCTTAGAGGGGTTGGTACTTCATCTGAAAGGTGGATAAATTGTTACGAGGGGTGGGTGCATGGCTTGTGACGCTGATATTAGTATGAGCTCAATTATCCGGATTCTGCTAACCGGATATCGGGTCATCAGGAAAATTTGATGTTCATATCCGGATGAATGTACATATAATTCAGATGACCAGAGGTTTGTCTAGATATATATAGACAGGAAGATAATTTACTATATATGCCAGCATATAAGTCAACATTTGAAGCCTTAAAAACTCTCCAAAACCAGGGATCGACTTGTTGCCAAATATAAAATGTGAACCACTGGGAGAAAAACAAGTGAAACGCGAAGCCTAACACTCGTTGTACACCACTTGTCTAACTCTGGCAGCCTATCACAATTATTTACATACTTTCACTTTGAAATTATGGAATTTTCTCAGCAAAGTGGTGAGGAAGGCAGGCAGGCAAGCGGGCAGGCAGGGAGGCAGGGAAGGAAGGAGGCCGGCAGGGAAGGAGAGAGAGAAATAGGCTGGCAGGTAAGGAGGGAAGGAGAGAGACAGCCATGAAGGGAGTGAGTGAGGCAGGCGGGCAAGGAGAGAGTCAGACTGGAAAGGAGTAAAAGAGGAGGGCAGAGTGGGTGGGCTGGCAAGCAGATAGGCTGGAGTGGGTGTGGACGTGTCTGGAGTGGGTGTGTAGGTGTCTGGAGTGGCTGTGGGGGGTAACTGGAGTGTGCCTGGGTGTTTGTGGGTATCAGGAGTTGGTGTAGGGAATCACTGAATTTGGTTGTGGGTGTGGTGTGTCTTTGAATGTCATGTGGGTATTGGCATGTGGGTGTTTACATTTATCGGTGTTGACATGTAGAGTGTGCTGCCCGCTGGGAGAGGCACGTGTCAGTCTTTGTGTACCAGAGGCATGGATACTACGTTATCCCTAGCAAGGGGGTGGGTGGAGGTCAAGAGGGGTTGGGTCTCGGCAGGGTGGGAGGATCGGAGGTGGCACGTGCGTTGTTTAATCATATTTGCTTTTCTTTACACATAGAGATCACAAAAGCGTTTGCATCAATGAACAATGGATTTGTTTGTTTGCTCTGTATGTTTGAGGATTTGTTCACTGATGCATCACGCTATTGCGATTTCTGTGTGTAATGAAGTAAGGGCGAAGAGGTAGAACGGCCAATTGACATAGCGAGAGTGCATGGTGGAGTTGTGTAAACACCTTGGTTTGTGTCTCGGAGAGGCTGCAGGATCTACATAATTTCAGTAGAACTTCTGGTTTCAACTCTTTTACCATGTCGTAGCTCAGACGATTAAGGCAGCGTCTGCGATGCTCTCAGATGTAGGTTCGAATCCTCGTCACGGCCCTTGTGGATTTGTTTGCTTTTCTTTTTTTGCCGTGGTGGGCTATCTTGAGGTTATCTTGAGATGATTTCAGGGCTTAGCGTCCCCGCGGGCCGGTCTTCGACCAGTCCTCCTTTCTGTTACACACCCCCAGGAAGCAGCCTGTAATAGCTGTCTAGCTCCCTGGTACCTATTTACTTCTAGGTAAAAGGTGCATCCGGGTGAAAGAAACTCCACCAGGGATCGAACTCATAACCTCAGGACTGCGAATCAGAAGCGTTCTCCACTCAATTGTCAGGCCGGGTAAGATACGAATTTTAAATAAGGCAACATAATATTTTACCTACTGTAAAATACAGCTGCTTACTGTAAGCTACAGTAAGGTGTAGCTTACTGAGTTTTATTGTATTTTTCAAGCCTTGTGTATTGTTTTAAATTGTTTAAATTTTGCCCCGAGGGGCGAGTTTATTGGGCAGCGCCACCCATCCTGTGAGTGAACATACCCCGTAGCAGCATGTATAACACTTCCAAATAGGAAGAAAACCAGCTAGGTTATTCATCCTGTCATTTGTACCCAGACACAGTCGGTGCTTGAACAAATCCACAAGGGCCATGACGAGGATTCGACCCTGCGTCCGAGAGCATCCCAGACGCTCGTCACGGCTCTTGTGGATTTGTTCATTTGATGCATCACGTAATTGTAATTTCTTTGTGTAATGAAGTAAGGGCGAAGAGGGAGAACGGCCTATTGACATAGCTCGAGTGCATGTGGGGAGCTGTGTAAAACCCTGGTTTGTGCCTCGGAAAGGCTGCAGGATCCACTAAGTTCAGTAGAACTTCGGTTTCAACTCCTTTTGACCATGTCGTAGCTCAGTCGATTAAGGCAGCGTCTGGGATGCTTTCGGATGCAGGTTCGAATCCCCGTCACGGCCATTGTGGATTTGTTCATTTGATGCATCACGCAATTGTGATTTCTGTGAGTAACAGTTGGGGTTTGCTTAACTGTCTCAAGTGAACAGCTTATCAAACAAGAAGATTAACATTCGTCAACCCTTCAGTACATATTATCTTGCCGGTTCAAAATGGGGAATCTATTGAGAACATTATCTATATTTGACAAATAGTATTCTTCTAACTCAAACATTGTGGGGTTTATTATTCTGCATATATTTCTAATGACTTTTAGATGTTTACACTCTCTCAGGTAGGGGTGTAGGCAGTGTCCATCACTCTCACCACAGATTCTGCAACTTCTCTGCTCAACTTTTGTTTCCATTCCTAAACTCCATGGATATTTGTAACCAAGACAGATTCTTGCTATTACTAATTCTCTCACGCGGCCACCTCCACTTAGTCCATAATGATTGGGACTGCCAGCTGCAACCACATTGTACCAGCGTACAGATTCACTGATTTGTTCTTCTATCCTCCTTTCCACAGTAACCTTGTCACGGTGATATTGTCTAATGATGCCTCTAAATTGTAAAAGAGTCTTGGGTATGAAGTATTCAATATGGTCATCTTCAGCGCCTTCAGCAGCCAGCACATCTCCTTGTTCATTTCCACAGATTCCAACAAGGGATGGTATCCACAGAAATGTTTATCATATTGATTAGTTGCTGCTCTACAGCATGATATAAATGTTTTAACACCAGGTTTGTTGAAGTGTCCATGAGGTAAATATATGTTTAATATTATCGACCACTATCGATAATATTAAACATATATTTCCCTCATAATATTATCGATAGCACTTATGACTTGTGAGAACAACACATTGTTACTGGAGGTGTGCGTATATCTTTTGAGATACTAATTATTACAGAGATGGGAGAATGGCTTACGAAGAAGGACACATTGTTAGAGGGTGTGTCACAGAGCCCGAGAGGTGGATATTATTTGTTCAAGGATTGAGAGGTGGAGACATTGTTACTTACGTAGATGGGTGCATGGCTTATTAGGTGGTCATTATTATTAGGGGGGATGGGTTCATTGTTTGTGAGGTGGACATTATGAAGGGGGATGGGTTCATGGTTTGTGAGGTGGATATTATTAAGGGGATGGGTTCATGGTTTGTGAGGTGGACATTATTAAGGGGAATGGGTTCATGGTTTGTGAGGTGGACATTATTAAGGGGATGGGTTCATGGTTTGTGAGGTGGACATTATTAAAAGGGATTGGTTCATGGTTTGTGAGGTAGACATTATTAGAGAGGTGGCTGCATGGCTCGTGAGGTGGATATTATTAAACTGGTGGGTACATGGCTTGTGATGTGGATATTATTAGGGTGGGTTGGTGCATGGCTTACAAGATGAACATTATTAGAAGTGTTGATGCATGACTTGTGAGATGCACATT